AAAAATGATATTTGCATGGTAGGGCTTTTTTGGAGGGTTACGGTAGGCACACGGTGTGAGCTCAAAATCTTAGATCTTGCTGAAACTCTGCACGGAGGAGGTTATTCGACATGGTAATTACGAGAGTGACTATATTCAGCGTGTTAAATAACCACTTTAGATCAGAAATCGAGCGAAATCTAGGACTTCGACCCCTACAATACATATACCGTAAGTATCAGGGAGACGTTTTCGCGCGGAAAAAAGTGTAATACTTGTAATTAGCATGTCGGATAATCCCTCTGGGCAGAGTTCCAGCAAGAACTGAGATTTTGACCTCATACCTATGCCTACCGTAACCCCACAAGAAAGACGTTACCATGCAAAATGATTATTTTTCGTGATCATGCCAATAACCTCTATGCACAAAGTTTTAGCGAAATCCGAGATTCTTCATTTTTGGATTCCGTAATCTGGAATAGGATCTGGTTAACAAGATTCCGTCGAATTCTTTTGTGACCAAAAGACTGGCTCACCGCCAAGAATCCATGACTAGCACAATTTTCCATTTGCTGCAAGGTGTTTATTTGTGATAGTTTATCCTCCACATCGAATTTGTTCTCTTCATCAATTATTGCCTCAAAACTGAAAAATCTCCCTTGATTTAATACAAAACGTACCAAAAGCCTACCTAAAAGCCCCATCAGGTGTTGAATACTTCAGCGGCTTTGCGGTCTTGCTAGCCAGACGCTCTTCTAATTTTTTCAACGATAAAAATCCATGCTCACGAATCCAGAGGTCCAATGGGGAGTTTGCATCAAACTTCTTTGGATTTTTATGGAGGTTATATAGGGTGTTCATAGCTTTGCAGTTGGAATGCCCACATATGATCACATGTTTTATACCACCCCTCTTCACGGTTAACTCCAATCCTGCAGCTTCGGTCGAGAGAGAAGTTTCACACCCGCAAGATCCTAAAATCTCATTTTTGAAGCGTTTTCATCATCTGCGATAGAAAAGCTCATACCATAATTTTCTGCTCGAGGTATCATACTGCCCGGATTACGAACCACATACATATCTCCAACTGTTGTCGATGTAATCCTGAAATTACTTTTTTACCATTTCATGAATGGCTCGAAAATTTCCTAATCCTATGAGTTTTCAAACTATAACAGTAATTCTAGTCTACATTCTACGATGAATGATCAAAAAACCTTGCTGGAAACATTCGTGCATCCATGCATGAGAAGAAGACCGCACCCGGGTGTGCATGGGTATCTCGTATATTCACAAACTGTTTCACCTGATACAAACAAATGACAATGTCGAAAAGACAAGCAAAAGCTAGATAACAAGGTATTTTGCAGCTTTGTTTCTATCAACTCTCTCAAAGACACTTACATATTTAAATGAAAAATAGTTCTAGCGGCTCTTTTTGCGTATGTCATACCCATTTTTTCTTTGATTAGAAAAAAACAATTACAGTTAACAACAATAAATCATAAGGTAAATTTGACTGCTGCAGACTACAGATACAAATATCACCTACTACGCGACTATTTCAAAAATTCTGTCCCCGCCGTACGAAGGTTACAAAAATAGCATCCCGACCGTGTGCTGGAGCTTACCAGCGCCGT